ATTTCCTCATTGAGTGGGACCTAAACCAAAATGCCATGATGCTGCAGCACTGCTGCGCTTTTCCTTGATTGCTAATGAGGATGCCTGTTCTTCGATGAATTGGTTAATTGCCTTTCTTTTTCTCCTGAATTGTCCTTTGATGTCCTTTGCTCATTTATATGTTAGGGCCCTCTTTGGAAATATCTTTGCATGTGTTCTTAATATAATAAAGATGCTTGTCTGTAAGGGAGTGTTGTTGGACGAATAGACGGTGGAATAAATGCTACTTGTTGGTTTGTCATATTTGCTGCAAGCATTTTCTCCCACATTTAGGGGAGTCTTGCAGTGCTCCCTGTAACCAATCTGAGTAACAGAGCCCCCCTACACACACTCTGCCTTGGGGCTGCTTTAAGCCTAATTCAATACTGCCTGGCTGTCCCCCACATTATTTCCTCTGGGCTTAAGTTACTCAGGATCTCTAAATATTTGCAGTGTAAATAACAAAACCAGAGATAGTTCTTGGGAACCTTGGTCGTTCAACCTCCTTCACCCCAGAGCACGGCCAGGGAAGGGGTCAGCATGCAGGGCTGTAGCTGAAGGAGAGCTGCAGAGAGGAGGCAGCTGGCTGCCCAGACTCCACAGGCTACAGGTAATAGGCAGAGGGAGGAGCTGGAGAGGGAGAGGCACCCGCCAGGCTTGGACTCAGAGCCAGCAGCCACACAACACAATGGAAGCAGGTATTTTGGGGTGACCCACCATGTCATGAGTGGTGATGGGGGCCAGACAGGTTCCTGGAGCCCAGGATCTTGTTCTGGTCTAAGTAACTAGGTACAGGACACAGAGACAGGAGGCTGGCTAACATTAATGCACAGGGAGATCTTGTATGCAATCAATCCCATTGCTGGGCCTCAGTTTCCTCATATGTACAATGAAAGCTAGTTGTGGCCTCAGCCCCTACTAGTGCTGAATTCTAGGATTCCTGTCCTTCCAGGGAAGTAAAAAGGACTCCTCTTCTGAAAAGAAGGTCTGTTATGAAAAGAACTAAAAGAATGAGGGGAGGAATTGCCCTGGATCCCAGCTCCCAGGGCAGAAAACCAGCCTTGACCAATCAAGACCCCTTTCTCAGCAGACCAAGGAGTAGAGTGCCCAGACAACTGTGGGATTTCCTGGAAAGCCACACTCCTCCTATCACCATCTCCTCCTCCCAGAGACTTCACCTCTAAAACAAATGCCCTGAGGAGGAACTGGCCTCCCTGGAAATATGGACTCCCCATGGCCACCCCTACACACCCCCTGCACACACGCAAACACACAACACACTTTCTCACATGCAACCTTGCAGCCTGTGCAGCCTGCATTCAGTAGTACTCTCACACACTGAGCTTTTGCCTGAAACATGTTTGTATTTACTTCACAGACATGGAGTGAACCCCTGCTATGTGCCAATCACTGTTGTAGACACTGAAGATGAGCAAGACAGAGACCCGCAGACACAGACAGATCATCCACCATGCACCCCCAAATAAACATGAAAATGCACAATTTGAGGTTGCTGCACATAAAATGAATAAAGTAAAATTGGTGGCAACACAGAGAGGGACTGTTGTTGGGGGTATGCTCATGTGATTGGAACTGGACAGTGAATATTGGAGCTGAGGCTCAGTGAGAAGAAGGTTGTCTGTCAGTCCCTGGGGAGGAGCACTGCAGGTGGAGAGGCCAGTGAGCACAAAGGCCCTGAGGCAGCAACACGCTTGGATGTTTGAAGATAAGACAAGGTAGAGTGGCCAGAGCATAGCCTGTGGGGAGCATGGCAGGTGCTGGTCACAATGAGGTGTGCACTGCTGGGGACTTGGCTTGGACTCTGCATGAGATCAGGAGCCAGTAAAGGGCTCAGAGCAGGGACTTCTCCCCAGGAGATCACTGTGTGAGCAGAGGGGTCCATGAAGGGCCAGGAGTGCCCTCCCTTCTGTGGTCACCGGTTAATTCCTTTCCATCCTTCATATCTAACTCAATGACCCCTTCCTCCAGGAATTTGTCCCCACCTCGTTACCCCATCAGATCCCCTGATGAGTCTCCTAGCACCAGTCACCCTCCAGGATACCTCTGCAGGAGTTTCATGCTGATCTCTGTGGTTGTATAGTTAATGTCTGCCTTCCCCACTAGACTCTGAGCTTCTTGGGGACAGGCACACAGTTGCCTTGGCTTACCTCCAACCCCCAGCACCTTGCACAAAGCCTGGCACACAGTGGGTGCTCAATAAATGTAAAGAGAAGAAATAAGTAAATCCCTGGGGTCTCAGCAAAAGTCCCACTCCCTTAAGGAGTGGTGTCCTGTTTCCACTTCCTCCCTCCTCTGTACCCCCTACACTTCACGTCTACCTCTTCTGTAGAACCCAGTATGACCATCAATGTGTTGACACCTGCACACACGCATGCATACACATGCATGCACACACACAGGCAAGGCATGTGTGCTGTTCTTCACTGTACCCCAGGGACCTCCTTGAAGCAGACAGTGCCACTGTACAAAGAACGACCTCACCCATGCCCACCTGCTCAGAGGCCCATGACTTGGGCTCACTAGAGAGTCTATGCCCTGAAGGTGTGTCAGGGGCCAAGCCCCCTCCCTCACCCAGTTGGGCAGCATCCCCCACAGACCTGCTGGCAGAAGGTGCCACATGCTCTCCTGTACCATGGCTCCAAAAGAGCTCACACAAACAAGGGCTCAGCTCTGCTTGCACAGTGGCTGCCTTCTGCAAACCAGAGATCTGCATACACAGACTGAGGAGTGTAACTGAGGACAAACTACTGGGATGTCTGACCTCTGGTCCAGCCCAGGAAACTGAGGAACTTTGGTCCATATTTCTAGAGCCAACTACTTTTTCCTGTGAAAACTCAGTTCCCATGATCGCTGGTCTTGTTAGATCCCAGTTAATCAATCAACATATTCTTGAAACAAATATGTTAGAAATAAAATTGTTAATAAAAAGTAATACTTTACATGTTCTAGGAAAGCTTAGTATTTAAGAAATTCCTTTGCAGCATCAAATGCATTTTTTGGAAGGCAATTGGCAATTTCTATGAAAAGTCTTAAAATGGGCGTGTGCCACGGCCCCATGATTCTATTTCTGAGGCCTGATCCAATGTATTATAACCTACCCCAAAATGGAGCTACAAGAATATTTGTCAAACAGCATTGGTTTGGGTAAGAGGGTAAGGCTGAAAACAATCCAAATGTCCAACAAGGAGTAGTCAAATTAATTCTGGCACATCTGTACCATGGAATACTCTGCATCTAAAATCATGATAATCGCACTAGTCAGCACACGTCAAACGCTTACTCTGTGCTGGGGACCACATTAAAAGCATTACATGCACCATCTCATTTAATTCTGCCTATGCTGTACATATTATTATCATCTCCATCTCACAGATGAGGAAACCAATACCAAATAGAGTTAGGGTATTTGCCCAGAGTCACACAGCTAGTACCTAGGATGCATACTCTGGCAGTTTGACTTCAGACACCAACCTCTCAGTCATGATACTACCTGGCCTCAAATGAAACCCTTAAGGGAGCTATTGTTGTAGCAAGACTAGCCACATGGAGCGATGTTCACAATATGCTAATAGGTATAGCAAGCAGGTTATTAAAGAGTATATGCAGCCTGATCCCATGCGCACATGTGCACGCAAAGCAAAGAGAGGATGCTTTGGGAAGATTTCACCCAAGATTTTACTTGCGTGAAAATGCTTGTTTTCTTCTGCTTGTGTTTTCTGATTTTTCTGGGCAAACATGCTTCTTCTATATTAAGAAAAATTATTTTTAGATTTTAAAACTAACATAAATGCCAAAAAGCACTCCCTCATACTCATCTTATGCATAAATGCAAATGTGCAGCTATTGGCTTAGCTTTAGGTATAGGCACAACAGCATGCATAGGCACTGTTTGCTTTTCATGGCTCGGCTTCTTCTTGAAGCAGCAAGGGCTCTCCAGCTGGGAAGAGACGATGCAGATTCTTCCCATTGCACCCCTCAGCAGTCTGTCCCCCATCATCCAGAAACCCTCTGGGCATTTTTGCCTCCAGGGAGCTGCCAGGCTGATGGCATAGACCTGGGTGAGCTCTACCCTGACAGCCAAGCCCAGGGACTCCAAGAGCTTGAGATGATCCACCTCCTGTCTCTGGGTCTCTCAAGGCAGCAAGAAGAGAAGGGCAGACAGGCCTCAAAGCAACAGAGCGGCCCAGGGACAGGAGTCCCAGTCCTGCAGCCACATATACTGAGGACCCTCCTGACCTAGTCACTTGCTTCCTGGGTCTGTGACCTTGGACAAGTTATTTCTTCTCTCAGAGCATGTTTCCACACCTGTCAAATAAAGAAATTAAAAGTACCAACTTGGAAGAAAAGTACCAATTCGTAAGAATCAAAGTAATAGATAAATTAGATATAAAATGATGGTGCCAATAAGTAACATTTCCTGGGTACTGATAACAAGTATGATTTCTATAGTTCTCACAGCCACCCTATCAGAAACACTGTGACGATCTGCACTTTACAGATGATGAAACAAAAGCTGAGAGCGGTAAAGTCACTTGTGCTGGTAAGTAGTGAGGAGGGAATTTCTGCCACCATGGCTGGGTCACACCACTACACCTCGCATTCTGGCACAATGTCTAGAACATGGGAAGGCCTTTATCCAGATGGTTACCATTGTCATCGCTCTCTGCTAGGGCTCTCTACCTGGCTTTGGAGAATAGTGTGAGAGTGAGGACTCCTCCTGGTTCTCCCCAATACCCAGACACTCACACAGCCACCAGGCCACTGATCCGCTTTAAGGAGCTTTCCTTTGGGAGTCACCAAAACTCTCTCCCCAATACCCGCCCAACCCCCGCACACACACACCCCCCCTCTTTGAGTCAGTTCCAGTGACCACAGTCAATGAATTTGCTGCTGGACAGTCTATGACAAGCCCCTGTCCAGAATTGGCCTTGTGTTCTGGCCTGGCAGGGGCCCTGGGGGGTCAGGCCTGCAGGCACTCACACTTGGCACCTGCTCCAAAACCCTTTTGGGTCTTTGAGGATCTGGGCCCTGGGCCTGGGTCTCCCGGCAGCTCAGAAAAGTTGGCCTGCCTGGCCAGAGAGGGAACTACGCGATTCAGAAAAGCACTGCCCTTCAGCAGTCTGGGCTCCCCAAAGGCAGAGTGGGACGCTAGAAACGTGTGCGCGCAGTGGTCTGGGTGTGCAAGTGTGCGAAGGATACGTGTTGTGTGAGCGAGAGGTTAGCGGATGTGCGTGTGCGTGTGCGCGCGTGGCTCCGGGTGTGCGCCGCTGCGATAGCGGGTCCTTTCCCGGGGCGGGCGACGGGCGGGCTGGGAAGGTCTCCTCCCCTCACCACATTGAGAAATCTCAGTGAGTCACTGAGTGGTTCTGCATATTAATGAGCTCACTCGCTGCGAGGGCAGGAGCGGATTTAAAAGAGGCCAGGGCGGGCGGAGGGAGGCTGTGGAGAGAGCGCAGAGACAAGCGCAGAGCGCAGCGCACCGCGACAGACAGCCGTGGGCATCCACCGACGGCGCAGCCGGAGCCAGCCGAGCCGGAAGGCGCGCCCCGGGCAGAGAAAGCCGAGCAGAGCCGGGTGGCGTCTCCGGGCCGCCGCTCCGACGGGCCAGCGCCCTCCCCATGTCCCTGCTCCCGCGCCGCGCCCCTCCGGTCAGCATGAGGCTCCTGGCGGCCGCGCTACTCCTGCTGCTGCTGGCGCTGTACACCGCGCGCGTGGACGGTGAGTGCGGGGAGCTCCCCTTGTCGCCGTCTCCTCTCGTCCTGTCCTGGGGAACACAAGCGCCAATTTCTAGGCATCCTAGGATCCCGCGGGGGGTGGTCTGGGTGGGCACCAAGGTGGTCGAGGGGTAGGAGACTCCCTCGCAACTAAGCAGTTGCCCCGCGCTCGCTCGCAGGGTCCAAATGCAAGTGCTCCCGGAAGGGACCCAAGATTCGCTACAGCGACGTGAAGAAGCTGGAAATGAAGCCAAAGTACCCGCACTGCGAGGAGAAGATGGTTATGTGAGTTCTCGCTCCTCACCTTGAGGGGGTGCGCACTGCTGTCAACCCGATGACAGGGCTCAGCCTGGGCCTGGGTCTGGCTAACAAACATTTCTCTCTGACTTTGTCAAAGCCTTGGAAAAGGCTTCGTAATTGCCCAGCAAGTCCTTAGGACGCTGGCGAGACACTCTAGAAGACAGTCGGGAAAGGGGGTCACTGTCCCGCTCCGGAACAGAGCCTCCCAAGTTCAGCCTTGCTAGGATTCAAATGAGTAGTCTCCCTATTTGTACCATGGGCCACCCACTCTGCTAGGGCCATCAAGGGTTAAAGGGATCCCTTGTGCCAACTCAGAAAACCTAGATTGAAATCACTTAAAGCACACTCACACCCAAACTGTGAGGCGTGCTGCCTTACTGTCACTGGACAGAGGATTAATGCAAACACTATCTTAAATCCTGACTCTCCTTCAGAGCCTTGTTCCAGTCAGAGGCCAGTGGACTGCAAGTTTTCCGCTCCTAGAGATTTCATTTTGAGAACGCTCCACGCGCTTCCCTCACCGGCTGTACTCCCTGTGGGTCGAGATACCGAGTGCTCTCCTGGGGTTAATGTGCCACATGGCTGGAGCCCTGCTTGGTGGGGATGTGGGGAATGTTGGAAAAACTGGGGCAGAGTGAGAGAACACTTAGTTTCTTGCTCCTCCGCCTTCCCAATTAACCACTTGAGGCCAGCACCTCTGCTTCCTCATCAATACGCTCTTGGCCAGGAAGGGAGCCCTTGGCAAAGCGGCTACCAAATATTTGCCACAGACCATTGGCCCCTCTTCCCCTCCCCCAGAAACAGGACGCACTTTATTCTCAGTCTGGGCAAGTGCCTTCCACCGGCTGGCCCCCACTGGCCCAAAAGCCTTCTACAGTGTCTGTGAAAGCAGGGCACACCCCCACCCAGCACCCCACATCCTCCGCCTAGGGGCTACACAAGCAGGCTGAAATTAGGGGAATTCAGAAATCCACTGGACCTGAGCTGACCCCACTGCTTTCCTTCACAGGCACCTAAATTAACACCCTTGTCCCTACCCCTTGCCTTGCAGACCAAATTCAAAGAAAACACCCAAAAATCCTTTTGGGTGGGGGCCAAGTGTCAAATGAGCTGGGAAAGGAGCTCCAAGCTCCTCAATGGTTCCAGTTTGCGGGCTAAGAATGACAGGGGAAATTCCAAGTTAAATTTCACTCGTCTAAGAGCTGAAAACTACTCTGTATACCAAGCAAGTTTCTGAGACCTTCAGGGAAAGAAAGCAGAGTAAAGGATGCAGTGATACCTAAAAAGAACAGAGCCCTCAGTAAATATGCTTGCCCTTTTCCTGGCTAAACTTTTGCACATATAGAGGAAAACTATAGCTAGGCAAGTGCGGGAAAGGCTTTATGGAGGCTTGTGGAAACTTGCAGGGGCCTCAGGAGATCCGCACACAATCCAATCGCCCTCTACTAAACCTCCACCCCCCGGCCCCCAGCCTCCCACCTCATCCCTGAGGGCTGGGGGCTCCTCTCCCTCTCCACGATCCTAAAACTCTCCAAATCAGATGAGGGGCCAGCACTTCTGCAAAGCAGGTTTTCAGCCACAAAGGCTGAACAAAAGCAAATTTTCCAGCTCACCCTGAATCACCCAGAAATCGCTGCTGAGGCTGGGGGTGGGGGCAGGACAGGGGCAGGGGGGAAAGGTCCGCTTTGCAAGTGGGAGTCTTTGCACCCAGAAGAATCCAGGAGAGTCTGAATTCTAGAAATAGCCATTTGTGTCATAGGTCCATGGAGCTCTCACCAAAACCCTTACACAGCCTCCCCACCCCACCCCCAGAACTGTGGAGGAGAGGGTCACAGGACTCAGAATTTCTGGTAGTTGCTGGAGTCACAAATCCCCATGTCTGCACTCCACAACCGATTTTCATAATCCCAGTATTATGACGTGGCATTTGGGCACTGTAGTGAGAGGGCTGAGTGTCCCTTCCTGCTCTCCCTGACCTTCAGGATTTGGGATGCACAGCCTGCACGCTGACCTAACTGAGACAGGGTTTTTATCAGGCATTGCCACGTCCTTTCCTTCAGAATGCAAAAGCAGCCTTGTAGGCAGAAAGAGAAAAGCATTTGCTAAATTCCTGCAGGGTGACTGGGCACAGTGGGGGAGAGAGACAACCAGAGTTCACTCTGAAGCCTGGCCCGTGCTCAAGGCTAGAGGAATGACCCGGGTCACAAAGGAGTCCAGTCAAGGCAGGCACCATCACCTGGCATCAGCAGGAAGACCCGCCCCTGCCCCAAGGAGCTTAGGCCCTAGTGGGGACCCCAGAAACCCAGAGCACAGAGAAAGGAAGAAAACAGGTTGCCCAGGAACATTGTGCCCCCATTCTGGTGGCAAGATCCGATTTTCTTTCCCCATCAATTGGGAGACTGAAGTCATGGGAATCCTCTCCCTTCCAGAACTTAGCCCATATAAGCCCTGACATTTTCCATTTGGTAACAGTGGGGAACTAGCTGACCTCTGTCCCTCTCTTCTCACTCTTTCCACTCTCACTTCCAGTCTCCCTTCTTTGCCCTCCAAGCCCACTCCAGAATCCCAGTCTACCATCATAGCTTGCATGGCTGTGACTCCTCAAGAAGTGGCATCCTCATCTCTCGCCTTGCACTTTTCCAAATACCCTAGGTGGTCCCTTATTCCACCCAACTCCTGTCATGCCTGTGGCCCAGCCCTGGCTTAGAGAGACTCAGAAGTTCTGAGCAGCAGGCTTGCCTCGCCCTCCAGGCTGGAGCCCCCACAGCAAGGCTACTCTTTCCTCTTGGCCACTTCATCTTCCATGACCAATGACTACTAACAGTAACTATTAATTGTGCATCTACCAGGTTCTGGGCACTTGGTAAAGATTGTATCTTTTAATCATCCCAATAACCCTGTGAGATAGTCCTATTATTGTGCCCATTTTACAGATGGCCAAACTGGATTCAGAGAGGTTACCCAAGGTCCCACAACCAAACTTGAGATTCAGTCCCAGGCCCCTACAGTCTGCACAACACCTGCTTCTCTACCACATGGCTAGGCTTCTGCTGGGTGTTGGAACATTGGCAGATAGAGGCCTGAGATCTTCAGGCTGTGCAGACGAGAGGTCTTACTCTTCTGCTTAGGGGTGAGATACCTGGCACCTCACACAAGGCCAACAAGACTTTGCCTCAGGATCAGGAGATGCCCAGCCCTGGGACAATCTGTGGTGGGTCAGAGGGAACTGGGGTTGAGGAGACAGAAACCAGAGTGTCTGGGGGCATGTCTGAGCCTTACCATGAGCTCCTCAAATCCAAGGACAGAGGTGTTGGCATGTGCACCTTGCTGGCATTAGCTTTCTCTACCTCCTGATCCCAGGCTCAGAGGAGCTGGAAGAGTCCTCTGACCTTTGTTCCCCAAAAGAGGCCTGAGCCCTGGAGACAACACACTGCATGAGGTTGGGGGTGGGAGAGACCATCCCAGACTCTCAGGACTCCCAGGGGAAAAGTGAGGGAGGGTTAGGCCCTAATACGGAGTCAGAGAATAAGGGAACAACCAGAACCTTCCAAAGAGCCAGCCAGGGAGTGAGCACAGAAGTAGACTCCCTTTAGAGGAGGCAGGAAGCCGCAGTCTCTCAGGACCCCGACTTAGCCCAGGGCCACTCACAGGCCACAGGAGAGGCAACATGTTATTCAGCCTCCTCAACCCTCCACCTCATCCTGCTCCATTTCAGCATCACCACCAAGAGCGTGTCCAGGTACCGAGGTCAGGAGCACTGCCTGCACCCCAAGCTGCAGAGCACCAAACGCTTCATCAAGTGGTACAACGCCTGGAACGAGAAGCGCAGGTACGCGCTGCCTCTGCTCACCTTCCTTCCCTCCAGACCCAGCTGTGGCTCTCAGGATGGGAAGGGACCCCCCGCCACCAGGTCATCTAGCCCCATCTAATATGTGAACACCCACCACAACATCCACAGCAAACAGATACTCAGGCATTGCCTACATACCCCCAGGGACGAGGAACTCACCACTTAACAAAGCTAGCTATGCATCTCTTGTCCATTTGCAAGCATGTCAGGTTTGTCATTTTGTAAACTAAAGTCTGTCTCACTCTAATATTTACATTATAATCTTAATTCCTCTTTTTATTTAAGTTACATAAGTTGTTAAATGGCAAGGTGAGCACTGGCATAGCTGCCAGGGGAGCTCTGAGTATTCAGTGGGGTAAAATGTGACCAATTAGGTGACAGTGTATGTTGGCTAAAAAACTGTGCTATAAAACCATGAGGTGCTGAGGATGATCTTTGCCAGAAACATGTTTTCTTCTCCAAGGTGCCCCACTCCCTCTGCTGCCCAGAAACCTGATAAACTCCTTCCTTTGCAGGTGTTGGAAGGCACCACGGGTTTGGCTCTTTAAAATCAGAGCCACTGTTAACCAAGGCAGGCAGCAATGTTAAAAGCACCAGCACCCTGAACCAGCCCTGTACTTACTGGGCACTATTTCCTCATAATCAGAAGGTGACTTCCCAGCTCTGGTCTCTTGGGGTCTTATGTCTGTCCTCGGAGGAGGAATCCAGTTCCTAGCTCCCCTGTACCATGTGAAGGTAGCCTGTCCTGCCTCACTCCTCAAATACGCAGAGTTTATTTCCACCTTTGCCTGCATAGTATGATCAGGAAGCACACACACACACACACACACACACACACACATACACACACGCATGCATGCACGCACGCATGCACCATGCAGGTGACTTCCCCAGGAGCTAGTGTCAGCACCCTCTGCTGCAGAGGGGGAAATCAAGGCTAAATGGGAGAGAGGGGTGACTTGCCTGGGAGCATAGGGCAAAGCCAGGATAGCAAACCAGGCCTCCTGGTGCTATTCCACGAGCTGCCCTCACAGGGTGGAAGGCGCAGCCACAATGCCTGCATTGCCCTCCCATCACCTGGCCCAGCCATGCCACACCAAGCTCAGCCCTGTGACCAGCTCTCCAAGAGCTGACACTCAGGCTCAACCCCTGTATCTGAGCCTTTTTTGCTGCCTCCAAAACCGCCTCATCTGCAGTTGCTTGAAATAGAAAGTGATGAGAGCGAGAAATTATTTTCTATAAATCTGATGGGAATGAAGCCCTCTTTCTGGTCAAGCCAGGCAGCTCATGTGGCAAAGGCCAGAACTGCCCAGTCCACTGTCTGTCACCCTCCAGGCCCTGTGTCATCAAAACTGGCAGAAGGCTAATCCCATGGGCAGGTTATGGAAGAGGCTAAGGACATCTTGATCTGACTGCTGGGGGATACTCAAACCTTTAACTCACCTTGCTCCTCCTCTCTACCTGAGCTGCAACCTGGAAAAGCAGGCACCCACAGGTCTAAACATGGCCCTGCTTTTTTTTTTCCTGAAAATTCCAATAATAGCAACAAGAGCCTCTCAGCTACCAGGCCTATTCTCACTTTGCTATAAAATTAGTTCACCCCTCTTTCTTGGAGTGTTAAGGTCCCTGCCCTCCCCACCTCCCTCCCCTGAAAAAAGTTGAAAATATCTTAATGAATGTAGAACAGTAATAAAGGAAGTGTTTGAAGTCCTCTTTGTACAGACAGAGAGAGAGAGAGAGCGAATGCCAAAGCCAGGTTAGAGAAAGGAGAAGGTTATACGGTGGGCTCAGGCCCATGGGTGCCACACAGAGGAGCTCTGTGCACTTCAGAGACCAGAGCTTTCAGGGAGCTTCCGGCCACCACAGGAAACGCGGAGTCAGGCATTTTATTTCAATGCGTAATTCAGTGGTCTTACTCAGAAATCAAGAACAAGACAGAGAAGTGATAGGCTGAGTGTAAAGTACGGCCCCAGGGCAGCCATGGGGCAGAACTAGAAGAAAGCAAAATATCTAACTGGGGACAGTTTGAGAGGTGAGGGGAAGGAGGGATTGGAAACCAGTAGAGATGAGGCAATGCAGCCAGGAGCAGGGACTGAGGGGCACAGGCCTCCTGCACCACTTCCCCACCCCACCAACCACCTCTTCTATCTCTAGGAAGCAGCTTCTAGAGCTAACATTCTTCTGGAATACATGCATTCTTTGGGCAAAATACAAAGAAATATATAAGCCTAAGTCAAGGGAGAGAATGCCTCCCACCCTTGCTATTTTCTCTAAATAGAGAGGCCGAGTACAGACGCGGAAAGAAACAAGGAGGTGCGGGAGCAGCCTACCATGCTAGAGAGAGACTGCATTCCTGCCACTAACAGTCAGTGGCCACTGGGCAAATCTTAAGTCTGTGGTGCCTCAGTTTCCTCATATGCAAAGCTGGTTTGCTCCATAGGCCTCTGAGGACAAAATGAGATTGCAGAGGTGAGATTGCAGACGGTTAGAAAGGACAAAGCCACACTGGTGTGAGTTTTCATGGTCCCTGGGACCACATCCTCAGAAGGGTCCCTCCCACTTCTCCCTGGGGGTTCCTGTAGTCCTAAGACAGGGGCAGTCCCTGCAGACCAGATGCAAATGAAGCCACTTAGCCAGCAGCTTGTGAACTGCCTGCCTCATGTCCTGAGCCACTTACACATGTGTTTTTTCTCCCTAGGGTCTACGAAGAATAGGGTGAAAAATCTCTGATGGGAAAACTCCAGACCAGTTGGGAGACTTGTGCAAAGGACTTTGCAGATTTAAAAAAAAAAAAAAAAAAAAAAAAAAAAAAAAGCCTTTCTTTCTCCCAGGCATAAGACACAAGTTATATATTGTTATGAAGCACTTTTTACCAACGGTCAGTTTTTACATTTTATAGCTGCGTGCGAAAGGCTTCCAGATGTGAGACCCATCTCTCTTGTGCTCCAGACTTCATCACAGGCTGCTTTTTATCGAAAAGGGGAAAACTCATGCCTTTCCTTTTTAAGAAATGCTTTTTTGTATTTGTCCATATGTCACTATACATCTGAGCTTTATAAGCGCCCGGGCGGAACAATGAGCTTGGTGGACACATTTCATTGCAGTGTTGCTCCATTCCTAGCTTGGGAAGCTTCCGCTCAGAGGTCCTGGCGCCTCGGCACAGCTGCCACGGGCTCTCCTGGGCTTATGGCCGGTCACAGCCTCAGTGTGACTCTGCAGTGGCCCCTGTAGCCGGGCAAGCAGGAGCAGGTCTCTCTGCATCTGTTCTTTGAGGAACTCAAGTTTGGTTGCCAGAAAAATGTGCTTCATTCCCCCCTGGTTAATTTTTACACACCCTAGGAAACATTTCCAAGATCCTGTGATGGCGAGACAAATGATCCTTAAAGAAGGTGTGGGGTCATTCCCAACCTGAGAGTTTCTGAAAGGTTCACAGGTTCAATATTTAATGCTTCAGAAGCATGTGAGGTTCCCAACACTGTCAGCAAAAACCTTAGGAGAAAACTTAAAAATATATGAATACATGCACAATACACAGCTACAGACCCACATTCTGTTGACAAGGGAAAACCTTCAAAGCATGTTTCTCTCCCTCACCACAACGGAACATGCAGTACTAAAGCAATATATTTGTGATTCCCCATGTAATTCTTCAATGTTAAACAGTGCAGTCCTCTTTCGAAAGCTAAGATGACCATGCGCCCTTTCCTCTGTACATATACCCTTAAGAATGCCCCCTCCACACACTGCCCCCCAGTATACGCTGCATTGTACTGCTGTGTTATATGCTACGTACATGTCAGAAACCATTAGCATTGCATGCAGGTTTCATATTCTTTCTAAGATGGAAAGTAATAAAATATATTTGAAATGTACCAAAATTCTAGACTGCTGCCTTTTTTCTATTTAATTAAGCTAGGATGACAATAAAATGTTTACCATGTCCTGAAAAAAATAAGGACAAATATGCTGGGAAAGAAAACTGGTATTTCCCAAGTACCTGTCAACACCATCACCTCTGTGGAATGTGTGGAGCTGTCATTATAGTTGGGAAGCCAAGAAGCCAGGCCTTGAGGCTAAGGCTCCTTCCCCGAGATTCCTACCCCTGCAGCAGGTTTATCAGAGTGGGTAGGTTGGAGCATAGGGAACTAGAGGGTCATGATTCCAGCCTCCTCCACGCAAGACCACACTGAGCCTCAGCACCAGAGGGCAGCAAAGAGCCCGGATGCCTCAGCCAAGGGCTCTGCCAGTTCCCTGGGGCTGCCTGAGGACGGTGACAATGGAGGACTGGTGTAATTATTGCCTCCTGTGAGCCAGACCCTGTGCGGAGCGCCTTACATGCCCTGTCTCTTTGAATTCTGGTAATGACCACAATGGGGGTGGTCCTACTGAAGCTCCATTTTACAGATGAGAAAACCAAGGCTCAGTGAGGTGATCACACCATTTAGAGAAGATAGTAGATGGGGCCAGTCAAGATGCCCTGGGGTCCAGGGCCCCAAGACGCCAGGGGGACTCGAGGAGGTGGGAAATGCCCACCTGGGAGGCTGTGGGACTCTGGAGCTGGGCATCTGGGAGCCACACCTGGGAGATACTGGAGCTGTTCCTGCTCCTGCCAGGTGGACAGGTGGACAGTAGGGCACACCTCATGGTGCTTCTAGGGACTGCATGAGGTAAGCCCCTGTAAAGCACTTAGCAGGACACCAGGGCGTGGTGAGCGTGGTAATGGAAGCGCTTTTTTTTTTTTTTTTTTTTTTTCCTGAGACAGGGTCTCGCTCTGTCACCCAGGCTGGAGTGCAGTGGCACAATCATGGTTCACTGCAGCCTCGAACTCCTGACCTCAAGGGATCCTCCTGCCTCAGCCTCCCAAGTAGCTGGGACTACAGGCACATACCACCATGCCTGGCAAGACAGGATCTCCCTATGTTGCCCAGGCCAGTCTGAAACTCCTGGACTCAAGGATCCTCCTTCCACCTCAGTCTCCCAAAGTGCTAGGATTACAGGCATGAGCCACCATGCCCAGCCAGAAGCTGTTTGAATAAGCACAACACCAGGCCAGCTACTTTGCACTTTGTACCAGCTACCCACAGCGCTGTATCTCACTGTATCCTAAAGTCAGCCAGGCCCTGAAACAGGCCTCTCTGCCCTCACTGGGTTCTCCACACCCAGAAGGACTGCTCATGGGGACTGGCCTCCACCCTGTCCGCTACACTAGCCACTGGGAGCCAGTCCCCCATGTCCCCTTCACCTTCCCGGACATCTCCCTGACACGCTGGTTCTGCACACACTTACAAGGACACCCAGCAAGTACCCTGTCCCAGCATGTCCCTGGCAAGGTGCTACTGCAAACACTTTTATCACCATCTTATTTCCTCCTGGCGGCTCCAAATTACACCACATGTATTCCTGAGGAACTTGAAGATCAGAGAGGTTGAGAAAGTTGCCCAAAGCCACAAAGCTACCACTCATCACACCCTCTAATGGCTGGGTCTGGCAGCCTTTCTGCTGAGGGGTGGAGGAGGGGCAGGCTGAGGCCACAGGGAGCTGGAGACCATGAACGCCCTGGGGCAGCCCTGCCTTTCCCTTCGTTACAGAGAAAGAAGGTAGACTGGACAGAGAAACCCCAAGACCAACAGACAGAACAGAGTGCGAGAGCCCCAGAAGACAATGCATACCAGGGCAGGGCAGAGCAGAGGCCAGGCCTCTTTCTGGGAGCCCCGAACCCTACCCAGCCTCAGAGCAGCACCAGTGGAGCCTCAGGAGGGAAGGGGAGTATACAAAGCTGGCTGAAGAGCCCCGGCTGCCAAGAGCAAAAGCCGCTCCAAGACAGCACGGGCCATGGGGTGCCGCTTGTAAACAAACCATACACATTCCCTGTCCTTGCTGGGGCTCTCCTTGTCCTGCCTGTGGCTCTAGTGCTAGGCCACCGTCCTCTAACTCTGCGGGTCTGGATGGTCCCTCCCTTCTCTGACGTCCCAAGCCACGGATTGGATCACTAATAACAGTAACAGTGTCACCTCACACCGGTCCAGCCACTGATCCAGGAACTCACTCAAGCACAGGCCCCACATGCTCTATCTGCACTCCCACAATGTGCTTTGTGGCCGGTGCCCAGACAAGTGAAGCACTTCGCTTAGGAGAGCAGAGGAAGTCCCGAAAGTCAAGCCTCAGCTGGTCAAAGCGCAGAAAGGGTGGAGAGTCTGCGTGTAAATGTCTCCATTCCCTACAGAGATGGGGTCCCGGGAGAACAGAGGCTGGGCTATGATTCCAGGGAGAGCTTGGGCCCTTTCCTCCAGCAGACAGGGATTAGCCTGACCACTAAGAATAGATTCTGAGCCCAAACACCTCACCAAACACCAAATGAGGACCCACAGGCGCCTGGAACTGTGCGAGGCTCCAGAGAAGAATCTTCTTTCCCGGGGTTACAGACCTGTTTCCTGTACCTCTTCTCCTCTGGGCCTCCCAGTGTCCCTATGAGGTGTCCACCTGCCAGCTTCCAGGAAAGAGAGTAATCCTAGTGCAGCAAAGCGAGGCCAGGTGGCCTTTCAGGGTGGGCTCTGCACTGATGGCTCTCATGGGCTTCCCTTGGTAAGAGTGAGCTTCTCCTCTGCACTCAGGGCAGACCCGGCCCACATACAGGCCCCACCTCCTCTGGAGCCACTGCTTCCTCACAGTTAGGCTTGTTTTGGATCCAAATGCCATTGCCCCTGACTTCCCATAGGCTCGTCCTGAGCAGGCCCTGGTGCTGCAGTGGGCTGACACCAGCATGGCCATGTTCTCAGAGAGCTCCAGCCCAGCCCTGCAACTCAACTCCTCCATCTCACCTGACCGCTCTCAGATCTCCTCCACTCAGAGCTTCTCCTGGTCACCCTGGACTGACTACATAATTTGCAAGGCTAGGTGAAAGAAAAAAAAAAGATGCAGGCCCCCTATTCAAAAATTATTAAGAATTTCTAGACAGCAACAGGACGGCATTAAACCAAGCATGGGGCCCTTACCAGACGTGCTCTGTGCAACTCACATGTTGCAAGCCCATGGGGCCCAACCCTGCCTCCAGTATCAACTCTAATACCCATATAGGTGACTCGTTTCGGTCCTTAATTATTACGTAATCTGTACTACAATTTAATAGTTTTATTTTAACCTGAACATCTAAGAAGAAGCCCTTCTTAGAAACCAGGAGCTGTGTCATATGCTGCTTTGTAAAAACCTCCCAGAATCTATGATAGCACTTACGAGGTACTCAGACACAGTTGAATTAATACTAGGATCATAGGGAGATACCCGAGAACACGCTTTCTTCACACATTCCTGAGCTACTGCTCAGGAATTCAGAGTTCAACCATTCATTCACCCAGCTACTGTTGCGTGATTAAACATCGGCTCTGTGCTGGATGCTGGAGATGGCCCCTCCAGAAACTCAGTCTACAGGGAGGCAAAGAAGCTGCCTGAAATTGCTGTTGGTCTGACTGCCAGACGGACTCACGGCAGGCTCTGGGGCAGCCCCAAAGGGGCGGGTGCCTCACCCAGGCTCAGAGGAGGAGACCGCTGATCAAGACCTCTGTCAGTCCTGGGAAGGCTCATGGCAGATGGCAAGTCATTAGCAGTCAAGAAAAAAAAGAGGTGCTGATTCCATCCTGGCTCTCACATGGCCCGTTGCCGCCATGCTCATATGCAATGAGATGGACTAACTGCAGCAGAGCACCACGGGCAGAGAAGTAGAGAACACTGGGGGATTTAGAGGAGGCCCGGGAGCATCAGCCATGCCCCAGATGCATGTCCACAGCGCTCAGCGCCAGCCTCAGTCCCCACTCCCCTCTCGCCCAGCTCCCTTCTCTCCTGCCTGTCCTGCAAGGACACCGTGACGGGGGCCTCTGGAACCTCAAAGGCAAAGAAGCCCACACAACCTTTCCTGCTCAACCTCCCACACAAGGAAGACACCGTGCTGCTTTTAGAGCCCCTGGGGTGTTTTCTTCTCCTTCTGTTTTTGAAAAGTTACATGGATATTCTTGGAGGTCTTCAAGAAAGCACTAAAACCCTAAGCTATTTTCTTGCTTTCAAAGTAACATTTCCCAGCTTCCTCCACGCAAGTCCGTGCTGAGCCTCACCACCAGAGGGCAGCCGAGAGTCCGGGTGTTTCAGCCAAGGGCTCTCCAAGTTCCCTGAGGCTGCATGAGGAGGGCGACAAGGACAAGTGTAATTATTACCTACTGTGAACCAGACCCTGTGTGGAGGGCCTTACATACCCTATCTCATTGAATCCTGGTAGCGACCACAACGGGGGTGTTCTATTGAAGCTCCGTTTCACAGATGAGGAAACCAAGGCTCAGTGAGGTGAACACATCACTCATATTCACACAGCTAGCAGGTGAAAGAAACCCACGTGTGTCTGGCTCGAAGGAGACTGTCTGCTCTCCCAAGTATGCAGTGTCTTACAGTTCCTGTCCACCCTAGCCCACAGGATGCTCCACTGTGCTCTCGTGCTCCGGCTCGGGGCTGATCCCGTTTATCAAATGGAGATTAATCATCCAGTTAACCTGGGCCACACGAACAACCAGCCTCAGCCAGGTTTGTTTTGCTGGTGTCTAGTTCTGTCTCCTACAGGCAGATGCCTGCAGAAATCACATGCTATTCTAGGGCATCTCCCCCTGATCCAGAAAGGGAGCTCCAGAGCTGTGAAACGGCTGCTCCAGCCCCCATTTGGTAGACACAAATTCCACTTGAGTAGAGGAGCAGCAGAATCAGTTTCCCCCAACACCAAATACACTAAAGAAGCAAAATGACCATGATGTTGTCAAGTTCAACTCAACATTTTGGTTAGAAGCAAAATGATCTTCTGTTCAGTAAAAAATCAATTCAAAGTTGGATTTCAAATAAT